AAGGGAGGCCCGGAAAGGACAGCTGGGTGCGGGACTTGGAGCAGCTTTAAGGGTGACCAGGGAGTGGCGCGGTGTGGAACAGCTAAGGGAGACAAACTTGTGTGTCAGTTTGTCATCCTGTGGTGGCTTGAGTTTTGCTGTGAGGCTGGAGGCTATGCTACTGGTGTTGCAAATGCCAGCAGGGTTACTCATGGTGGACAGGTTTCAGCAGAGCTTCCAGACTAAGAAACACTCAGAAGGAAGAGGCCATCCACTTCTCAAAGAATCAGCCAATAAAAACCTTATGGATAGCAGTGAAACACTATCTGATATATTACTGGAAAACTTTATGAACAGGCCTGAAATACTGTCTGATATAGTATCGGAAGATGAGTACATCAGGTTGGAAGGCACTCAAAATACAATGGAAGAAGAGCTGCCTCCTCAGAGCAGAGCCGACCTTAATGATAAGGATGGAATAAAGCTTTCAGGACCTCCATCTGCTGATGTGGCATGACTCAAAATGAGAAGAAAGAGCTGCAATATCCATTAATAGTCGGAACATGGAATGTACAAAGTATGAATCTAGGAAAATTGGATCTTGTCAAAAATGAAATGGAATGCATAAAGATTGCTTGGCATTAGTGAGCTGAAATGGACTGGTTTGGGCCATTTTCAATCAGACAACCACAGGATCTACTATGCCAAGAATGACAAATTGAAGAGGAATGGTGTGGCAATCATCATCATGAAGACTGTTTCAAGATCTGTCCTGAAGTACAATGCTGTTTATGATAGGATAATATCCATACGCCTATACGGAAGACCAGTTAATTCTATTATTCAGATTTATGCACCAACCACCAAAGCCAAAGATCAGGAAACTGAAGATTTTTACCAACTTCTGCAGTCTGAAATTGACTGAACAGGCAAACAAGATGTGTTATTATCACAGGTGATTAGAATGCAAAAGTTGGAAACGAAGAATCACTGGCAGGTGGAAAATACGGCCTTGGTGATAGAAATAATGCTGGAGAACATATGACAGAATTTTGTAAGACCAACGACTTACTCATTGCAAATACATTTTTCAACAACACAAATGGTGGCTATACAGGTGGACTTCACCAGATGGAGTACACGGGAATCAGACTGGCTACACTTGTGGCAGGAGGTGATGGAGAAGCTCAATATCTTCAGCCAAAACAAGACCAGGAGCTGATTGTGGAACA